ACTTCGGAAAATAAGCCTTCTTTTTTCCCAAAAACGATGAAAATGTTTGAATTTTATAAAGAAGAATAATTTTAAGTTTATGCAATATTGTTTAAGAGAGTTAAATTAACAAACTCTTTTTAACACATGTGAAAGAAACATGAGTTGTCAGATCAAAGTTTTTTGTTGTGCAACTTGTCATGAAAGCCCAAGCCCAATCAGTAATGCCAGACTCTTGTAAATTAATTTATTTTTTATTTTTTTTCTTGGTTTCAATTAGATTGAAATTTCAACTTGAATTTGACTTTGTTTGATTGATTTGTAGTTTAACGTCGATTGGGAGGAATTGCTAATGAGATCAGACAACGTGATGATATGGCAGTGTCTATTTCTAGAACACTTCTCTTTCAAAGGTACAATTGAGATCAAAGGTGATAAAGCAACAAATATTCTACTCGACATCCTTCAGAGATCCATTCATATAGAAAATCTCATATTAAGTGGAAGTTTATGCAAAGAAATATTCTCATGTGGTGAGAAAGACAAACATGCAGGGATATTGATGCAGATAAAAAGTTTAAAGTTGAGCCAGCTTTCTAAATTGAAGTGCATGTGGAAACAAGACTCCAAATTGGACTTTGTTCTTCAAAATCTTGGAGTTCTAAAAGTAACTGATTGTGACAGTTTGATTAGCTTGCTGCCATCCCATGCATCTTTCACAAACCTTACCGTTTTGAGAGTAGATCGGTGCTGGGGACTGATAAACTTATTTGTACCCTCAACAGTCAAAAGTCTGGTGCAATTGATGGAAATGAAAATAGAATACTGCAAATTGATAACTGAAATAATCTCTAACGAGGATGATGAAGATTTAAGAGTAGAAGATGAAATTGTTTTCAACAAACTAAAGTTGTTGTCTCTTAAAGATTTAGAAAGTCTCACATGTTTCTGCTTTGGGCGTTATAATTTTGAATTCCCAGTTTTGAAAGAATTAATTGTGAATGAATGCCCCAATATGAAGACTTTCTCTGAAACAGTCGTAAGTGTACCAAGTTTAAGGAAAGTAAAGTTTATTCAGGATGACAATGAAGAAGGGTGTTGGAAGGGTGACCTTAATACAACCATAAAACATCTACACAAAAATAAGGTATGTGTTCAATTAACAATTTCATTTCTCTAGATTTTTCTTTTCCTTTTATATTTTTTGAACTCTTCCTAATATTATTCTAAATACTTGGGGGGTAAAAAAAAGCAAGAACCCAAATATTATGTATAAAGAAATGCATAAAATATAGAAAGATAGAAGTTTAACTTTTAAAAGGAAAATTTATTGAAAATAATGAATATTAAATTCTTAAAATAACAAATATTCAACGCATTACCATTAAATGGATATCTTTTAGGATGACTGACATATACAACCTTAGAGGTTTCGCTTAATAACATAATGAAATTATAGGATCAAAGAAATAGAAATCTCTGGAAGCACTCAGCCAAGGTAGTCCAAGTATACCATTTTAGGTTGTAGAGACATTTTTACCCTAAAAAAATCTTTAAAATAATAGTTAAATATATTCCAAATATTGATGGAATCTGGGTTCCATTAACATAATGAATTATGTATTTACAATAAAGGAATTAACTGAAACATAGTTACATTAAAATAAATAAAAAAATTATAGTTAATATTAATTAAAAGGAAATTATCAAATTAGGGATAATGTTTTATTGAAATGCTAACAAAAAAAATACAAATTTCAAATCCTTTAATTCATGCAAGTTAATGGTTCAAGTTTATAGAAGTAACAGAACTGAAGCTTTTCTCATCCATAATAAAAGAAGCACTTTAGCCCCTTCACGACAAAAGCTGACGCAGACCCACAACTAAAGATGACAAACCCACAACTCACACCTCGCTCTGCATGACTCACCACTCACTCAGCACAACTCACCTCTCTCTACTTCATGAACGCCACTTGCACCTTAACTAGATACGATTGGGATAACAAGCTCCTCACACGTGTCATCATCAAATTAAAGAATGATTTTCTGTCGCAATCACAGCCGCCATTCTTGAGCATCCCAAAGTTATAGCTGCTAATAGCCTCTTAACAGTAAACAAAAAGATAGGTAGATTTAAAATAATAAATCAACAGAAAATCTTTGGCAAATCTAAGAGTTCTAAAGAGTATCTTGCTGCGGATTGATAAACTTATTCACACACTCAATCGCCAAAGCTTGATCAATTGGAAGAGATGAAAATAGAGTATTGCGTATTGCTGGTGCGGGATGATGATAGCAGTAGAAGATGAAATTGTTTTGAGCAAATTGTAAGTTGTTGTCCTTCTATATTTAGAAGATCTCACATGTTTTTGCCCATGGGATGAGGATGAAGGATATAAAGTATTACATCAAAGGCATGCAATTCCCTTGTTGCCTCCCCTGTAGCTGGCCCTGCTTGTTGCTTATTGAACCTTCATGGTATCTTTAATAGATAGAGGAATTAACTAGAGCTACACAAAGTTATACCAGTAATAGCCTCTTAACAGTAAAACCAAGACTGGGTGCGTAGATTTTAAGAACAAATAACAGAAATCTTAATTACAGCCACATTAGGATGACTCCTTAGTTTTTCTACAATAACAAATTTATGATTCTGTCTTTCTCTTTGTTCCTGTCAAGAATATATCTATTGCTACGATTGTGTAAACTTGTTTAAGGGAATATCTATTTTGACATGATTTATATGATTATCAGGTAAACTCCAATTCAGAAGAATGACGTAAGTGGAAAGGACTCCTGCCTCTGTGGCAAGACCCATACCAGAACATCATCAGTTTTGCCAAGTTAAGTTCTTGAGGTCATTAGGATGAATCAGCACACATTCCATTGAAATCTTCAAAGATTAGAATCTCAAAAAATTCATATTGAAGTAAGTTCATACGAAGAGATATTCTCGTGTGGAAAGGCTGAAAAACATGTTGGAATGCTCACACGATAAAAGTTAGAGCTTGGGGACTTTGATTTGAAGTACATGTGGAAACAAGACTCTCATTTGGACTCCATTCTTCAAATCTTGAAATGTCTAGACGTAAATTTTTGCCACAATTTGATTAATTAGCACCATCGTCAGCGACTTTTGAAAATCTAAACACTCTGGACTATGGCAGTGTCAGGGATTGATAACTTAGTATCATCCTCAACAGCCAAAGTCTGGTGGGACTTGAAACAATGTCAATTAGCCGATGTGAAATGATGATAGAAGTAGTATCAAATGAAGGAGATAAAAAAACGATGACATTGTTTTTGAAAAATTGAGTCTTTAAGACTTAAAGACTTAGAAAGTCTCATAACTTCTGCTCTGGGAATTACACTTTAATTCCCAACTTTGAAAGAATTAGTTTGTATGAATGCCCTAAGATGAAGACTTTTTCCGAAGGAGTATTAAGCGTACCAGTTTACAAAAGTAATGCAAGATTGGATGACGAAGAAGGGTACTGGAGGTGATCTTACTACTACTATCACATCGACACAAAAATCTGGTACGTATTCAGTTAAGATTACTCTCTGGATTTCTCATTTCCCTTGATATAAGTTTGTAAAAATACTTGTAACCATTGTTGTCGAAGCGAGTCAATGCATCCTCAGTCCTCGGGAAATTGTAACTTAGACAAAAGCTTTCATTGCTAAACTATCATCATTTGTAGATCAAAGTACTTTCCTTGCACTTCCATTTTTCAGTTTCAACGTGTTGTGCTTTATATTTACAGAAATTCAGATTTCTGAAAAGGTTCAGGTCAAACTTCAAGGAATCTCCAGAATAAGGGCAAGGGCACTTTTGTTGTAGTTGTGAGGCATTATTGCGGTTCCAATTCCCTATGTGGAGTGAGAAGTGGGAGGGCTTTTAATTCTCTAATATTCCAGTGTTCCACAACTTATTGTTGCGCTCGTGGAAATTATGCAGGCGATTTTTATGTATGGAAACGGTCAATATTATCTTTGATGTATTAAAGAAGTTTATAAACATTTGATTTTCTGTATATTGTGGCAATCGATTGATCTTGTCAAGTATTGTACCATCTATGTTCTTCAAAATTATGAGGCTGCAAAGAAACAGAGTTGTCTTGAAGTCATTTGAGCAAACGATCAAAATGTAAGTATTCATCTTGCATTTAAATGAAGTGATGCAACTATGTGAAAATAGCAATGATTTGTTTTTGTCAAACATATATTTTTTGAAACTAGTCCTTTGAATGTTTCTAGTTATGCCTCTCTATTGAGATTAGTTCATTATCTGAATGTGAAAATTCACAAATTAATTGTGAGAACAATTTGCTAATATTTGATAACTCATAATTAAACCGATTACCACATTGTTTAGATCTTGATATTGTTATCATTAAGTAATTGCATAGTATGTATTATATTATATAATGTTATTTGAATGTTGTATATATATATATAACATTGTATATTATTTTTTATATTATGTTATGCTTGGATTATAAATTATACAGTATAGTATTATTATTGTTCTTTAACAAAATATATATTTTCAATTATTATTCAACTTAAGTCACGTTCGGCTCATTGGAGCTACTGACCTCTCTAAACCCAACGTGTCTTTACAAAATTCCTTATGTGAAACTGTTTTACAAAGCATTATAGGTTTATAACAGTAGATTGCTCTGACCCCATTAACCATAATGGCACAAAAATATTCTTCTATATGTAATAGTTTAATCAATAAAAATTTACAAATAAATATTATTTCAAAAGTAAATGTTATAAAATTTATAAGAACCTAAAAATATAACTATATAATTATGAAAAAAATCAAAAACGCCTACGTTTTGGAAAGTCAGTTGGAGGCTAAATGTGACAATTTAATCCAGTTGCCCCCAGCAGTTTCGCAAATGCATCAAAATGCCCCTAAATTGTTACGGGTGAGCTGTTCGGGTACCCTGCATTTTCCGAGAACCAGAACCGGAACCGCACAGTGCAGGTTCTCAAAAAAAGGAACCGGAACTAGAACCGCACAGTGCAAGTTCTTCAATTCAAGAACCGGAACCTAAATGCAGGTTCCATTCCTTTCCGGGTACCCTGTAAAAATCAATTACCCCCTATTAGTTTAAAAAATAACAAAACACCTTATAATTTACAAATACACCCCTAACAAATTTTCATTATTCATTCATTTGTGTCCAATGTAACTCTAACCTGTATCTCTAACAACACTTGAATTGTTAATTATTTAATTAATATTGTAATATTGTTTATAATAGAATGTTATAATTATTAAATAATCATACCATAAATTTTAATATAATGTTATAATAATTTGATTAAGTATTGTGTAAATAGTAAATTACTAATGTTTAAATATAATGTCATATCAATTAAGTATCATTTAATTATGTAATGTTTATTAATTATATGACATACTATAATATATAATGTAATGTTATAATAATTAAGTAATCATATAAATCTATAATTTAATATTATAATTAATTAAATTTCAAATCATTTGATTATATACTATATTTATAATGAAATGTTATAATTGATTAAGTAATCATATTATAATATATAAGTAATGTTATATTAATTAAATTTTTAATCGTTTAATTAAGTAATGTAATAATAAGTAATTTAATACTAATGTTTATAATGTAATGTTATAAATTCATAACAATTATGTAATTATGTAATCATTTAACTATATACTATAATTAAGTAAGGTATCATATATATATGTAAATATAATATTATATTTTAATTGAGTAATTATTTACTTAATGTAATGCTTAATTAATGTTTATATGAAATGTTTATAAGGTAATGTTATGTTAATTAAATTTCTTATCATTTAATTAAGTATTATGTAATGTTTAGTAGTAAATTATTAATTACTATATTTATAATAGAATGATATAATCAATTAAGTAATTATTTAATTATGTAATGTTATAATTATTATAAATCATACTATAATGTAATGTTTAAGTGAATTAACTATTAAGTAATTATACTATAAATTTTTAATGTAAATTATAATTAATTAAATTTTTAATCATTTAATTAAGTTTGTACTATGTTTATAATAAAATGTTTAATGATTAAGTAATTATACTATAAACTATAACGTAATGCTATAATTAATTAAATTTCTAATTATAGTCAATTAATTAACTATTTAATTATGTTATAACTTATAAGTCAATTAATTAAGTAGTAATCAATTAATGTAATGCTATAATTAATTATACTAAAATCAATTAAGTAATGTTATAAATTATAATTAATTAAGTAATCATTTAATTATAATGTAATGTTATAATTGATTAAGTATGATATTTACTAGTAATTAAATTTATAATGTTTATCAATTTATCATATATTAATTAATACTAATTTATTATAGATATACTTAGAACTTGATAATTGAAGTAAATAACTAATATATTATTACTCAATTAAATATACTATTTTATTCAAAAATAATTTTTTTAATAACATTAAATGTAAAACACTTTTATTGGATCATAATTCTAATTATTTACTTAATTGATCAAAACTTTAATATTAATGTATTATAATATATTAAAGCTTTTAATATGGTGTAATTTATATGTAATAAGTATAATTGTATTCGTATATTTATTTAATTAGGTTATTCTAAAAATTTAACTTTTTCTATTTTAATTTTTTTTATATGTAAAATAATGAAACTCCCCCATTATTTACATTTCACAAATATTTCATTATAGTCCAGGTTCCAAAATAGGTTCTAAACAGGTTCAAAAACAGGTTCCAAACAGGTTCCAAAGCAGGTTCCAAATAGGTTCCAAAACAGATTCCAAACAGGTTCCCAAACAGGTTCCAAAACAGGTTCCAAAACAGGTTCCAAAACAGGTTCCAAACCGGGTACCCCCTACAGGTTCCAAATAGGGTACCCTTTTTACAGGTTCCAGTTCCTCCATATGCAAGAACCAGAACCGGAACCGGAACCGTACAGTAGCGGTTCCAAAAAATTGGAACCAGAACCTACCCGCATAGTGCAGGTTCTAAGTAGGTTCCAGTTTTGGTTCCAGTTCTTATCCCCCGTTCCGATTCTACCCGCTACCTGTGCTCACCCCTATAAATTGGTTACAGCTTTAACAAATGGTTTGGTCAAAATTCAAAAAGTGTAAAATTGTCCGGTTGACTTTTTGCATTGACCAAAAATATGAAGTTGTCCCCGAAATTCTTTTCGTCCCCCTCCTCTTTTCTTTTTCTCTTTCGCCCCTAAGTCTTTCTTTTTCCTCTCTTCCTCCCCCATTTATTTTTTTCTATTTTCCATTTCAGTTTCTTTTCTTCTCCTTTTTGCAGTTCATTTTATTTTCTCTTACATTCTTTATTTCTTCAAGTCAGTTTAATTGCTTCATCTCCCAACTTAATAATTCTTTAACTCAAACAACAAATACAAAAGTTACTTAAATTTTTTCTTTGATCCCAACTTAACTGGAAATTTTGTTTTCTAGAGCAACAAACATACTCTTTGCTTCCTTCACCTCCAACTTTATGATCCCCAAATCCTTCTTTCTTTTTACCATTCAGTTTCTGGAAAAAAAATAAAAGAATCCTTAAATCCTCAACTCAAAACTTAAAGGCAAACTTAAATTTACTGCACAAACCTCACCAATTCCACACATTCAGTTTCATATTTACTTAACATTCAAGCAACCCACATACGAACTCATAAACAACAAACTTATCTATGTAAACTTTGCAAACATTAGTTGATATGAATCCCAAATATTAGTTGATATGAATCCATTATAAATCATCTTATATTTTACTTCTCCTCCGAAAAAACAATGCCCATAAGAATAGATTGTAGTTTAGAGTAGAGGTTCTTCTTGTTCAACTGTATCAAACCTTTATGACAATTTTTTTTTTTCTTTTTAACAATAGTTATGGTATTTTCCAAAGTATTTGATAGTTTCCAAATAACGGTAAGGAACAT